GAAAAAGAGATCATGGTAAAAAAAATAATTTTTACTTGATTTGCTGACTAAAAACTAAAGATTTTAGGAGAAGTGAGTAAAAACTCATGGCCAGGGCTGGGGATGTGGCTCAAGCGGTTACGCGCTTGCCTGGCATGCACGTCCCGGGACGCTGGGTTCGATCCTCAGCACCACATAAATAAAATAAAATAAAGATGTTGTGTCCACCAAAAACTGAAAAATAAATATTAAAAAATTCTCTCTCTCTCTCTCTTTCTCTCTCTCTCTCTCTCTCTCTCTCTCTCTCTCTTCTTTCTCTCTCTCTATCTTTAAAAAAACTCATGGCCAACAATATTCTGTTCCATGGCTATGGTTTTATTTTCAGCATTATGACCAGAATCTGAATAATTGTGCTTCAGTTCCCCCTCAATCATGTGTGAGAAGACTAACTTTGGGGGCAAATCATTTAACTTCTGTATGAATTAGTTTTGTCTCATCAAATGTGGTTATTGGTATTTCCTCATGCCTAATTCTTTGGAGAGTAAAAGAAAAACAAAAAGAACATGCATATACTTGTGAAATATAAAGCAAGTATGTGTTAACCTAACTCTTTAATCCTTGTCAGGGTAATCTTTGTTGGGGGTTTCTAGCAGCAATACAATAGTTAATTGGACTTAAAACTTAAGACCTTTCAAGAAGCCATGTTCTATTACCCAGGTGCACATGGCCTGCCATTATGCCTTGCAAGTGAAAGCATTAGAGAGAGGCCAGTTAATTCCATCTAGCAGCAGTTTGAGGCTGGCCAGTGAGGAGGGAATGATGATCCTTTCATGCTATGGGAGCAGCTTCCTGCCCTAACCCAGAGTCTTCAGATAAGTCTCTATCTATTGTGCAGCATGTTGACTCCTCTGGCGGGGCAACTGTCCTGGCTGAGCAATTGGCTACATGACTATGGAAAGAACAGGAAGATGAAGGGGGAGCTTCAGGAAAGGAAGCCATGGCCTGGATTCATATCTGTGCAGGTAGTAGCACAATTTGAGGATCCTTTCCTTCCTTCCTTGGAAGACATCCATATTCCCAGGTGCTATGGCTCCAGTCCTCATAGGGTGACCACAAGAGGCCCCACAGTCACTTCCCCCGCCATTCTGGACCAGAATGTTTCTGGTCTCCCCATATCCATTTCCATGGTAGAATGAGGGTGAAATCTTTAAAAGGGGTCACTAGGCAGAGCTGGATGGAGAGTGAATTGTAAAAGGGATGCAGAGTGGCACTTACTCTCTCCTCTCTTGCAGGGGGAGGGAGGGGAAGCTGGGTGGGTTTCCACAACCAGTTGTCACCTGTGTAAAGCTCTTTCTATGTTTGATTTTCTTTTTGTCACTTGGGTACACTCTGTTTCAAATAAAGGGTTTGCCAGGTGTGATTGTCAGGCCAGATTCATGTTTGCCAGAAATCAGATCTTTCAGCTGCCAGCCCCTGTGCCATGGCTGAAAGTGGTTCCTTCCTCTGTCTTCTGTATGCTGCTGGTATAGGTGCTGGTTCTTCCCCATGCAAGGATATTGTGCAGCACAACTTTCAGTTTAGTTGAGAAGTGTCTTTGATCTCAAAAATTTCTGTACTCAGACATGCCTCAGTCCTCCTAAAAATATAGGTTTCTTTAATTCCCTTATCCCTTCACTGTGTTTGTGGAAGGACATTCTTCTTTATACCCCTGGTCATGGCCAGGGCTGTAGCACTGGGAATTTCTTCCTTATTTTATTATATCCAACTCCTGGATTCTCTAATCTGTTTTGAGTATTCATTATTAAATTCCAGTAAACTCCTCCCTATTTTTGTTTATTCACCCACCTTGCAGAGAAGATGCCCATTTGCTCTTCTTGATTTCAGAGCACAGAGCAGCCAAGGAAGTGGCCTCTCTATTCTTCCATCTTGAAACCCACTTGATTCTTCTTGAATGCCTGAGAACTCTTGGTAATTCACTCTTCCAAAGCAAAGTCTGCAGTGATTCTAACAGGGAGTTTCCAGAAGCCTTTGGTTTCAGACTGGGGTAGTATTATTGATCTCTCTTGTTCTGGGGCTTTAACATTTTGGACTGTACAGCTACTGGTTCCTACAGCTAGGAAACAGCTGATAGCAATTATATAATATCCAGCTTCTGGTTATTTAAGCCAATCTAATAAAGCCCCTTTTATAATCATACCTTCTGTTGTTTCTGTTTCTTCTAGAGAACCGTGACTAATGCCGGGAGGGAGGGGAGATAGGAATAGAAAAGACAGTGGAATGAATTTGACATGAATTTCCTAGATACATGTATAAATACAGGTAAGGAAAAGCCTTGGTCTTTCAATTAACCTCTTCCTTAGATTCCTCCAGGGAAAGAGCATTAAGTGTTCAATAATCACTAGATGTGTTTCTTGCCCTTTGGAAACTCCTTTTGCCCACAGCAAATGTAAAGTCTTTATTTTAGCCTTTATCTCTAATGATCAGGAAAGGCTTGAACACTGTGGCACTTTCTCATTCTCTGGGGTTCTACAATGGGCTTGTCTCTTACAAGATGCTCAATGCAATCAATAGTGCTTCTATACCTGGGAGTAAACATAGTACAGAGAAATCAGGGTTTCTCCCTTTAAGAAGGAAGTAACACAAAGGAGATTTGGGGGTCATTCTTTGGTAAGGAGCAACCAAATCCAACCTGCCCAAATCTTTCTCAATCTCAATATGTAAACACTAACATTTCGAGGACCATAGGAGATAAAGGAACCCAGAATGAGGGAACTCTGAAAGATGTATTTGTAAAGGGAGACTAATCTGAATGACTTGAGAGTCCTATTCAGGCCTCAAAGGGTGGTGGCCAACACCTTTAAGGTACACAGGTTATCAAAGGATGCCTTGTTCTGGTTCAGACAGTGGAGAGGTGCTTAGGGACACCTTCTCCCCCCTTCACTTTCAGATAGATAACACACCATCTGACACATGTACTTATGCCTTGAAATTCCTTTGACCTTCAAACCCTGGGAAAAGCTGCCTAATATTTTCTGTACCCAAGCTTGGCCCAAATACTACTTGGAGGAAAGGGAGAGATAACTCTTAAGGGAAATATAAACTATAACTCCGTTTTACAGATAGAATTGAATGAGCAATTGCCCAAAGCAATTTAAGACCAGACCAAAGAAAAGTGTCACATTTAAATTTTAGTTGCTCTGGGACTTAAAAAGCTATCTTATTCTTTTTTTTTTTTTTTTTTTTTTGAGGTGGGGGGCATCAATTTAAGACCTACAGACCTTGCCAACTCCTCTATAGGCAGGCTTTGTCTGTGTTTGCTAGAATTATTATCTATCCCTAAGTGACAGAAAGTTAGTGATCTCTACTAAACAGAGAGGTAATGCCAATAGAGACATATTTATAAAAATCAGATGGCATTAGATACATTAACTACATCTTATTGGGACATCTGTGGCATTATAAAAACTAAATGTTGTGCATATGTTTCTAACAACTCTGCTGATGTTTCTAAAGCCTTAACTGGCCTCCACTCACAAATCAGTGGCATATGGATCCCACCTAGAGCATTAATGAATTTCCATCTTCATGGCTTTCAGAGGCCAGCCAATAATACTGATTACTTTCATAATAATTGTTTACAAAAAATGCTTTGCTGTCTTATTTTTCCTTAGCATGATTGCTGCCCTGTGTACACATCATCCAGTCACTCACCAGCTATCATCATGGACTTCTGGACTATCCTGATGCTAAATACCCTTGACTCTCCATGCCCCTTCTGAGGGAGAACTAGAACTTTGAGTTTTATTCCTTGAGATATAACCCCTTTTCAGCAGGAAGTATCCAGAATGAGTTGACATCTATATACCCTAAAAGAATTTAGGGGCCAAAAGTCCTTGAGTGGGGAATAGATAGACAGATAGATGAGAATGGTAGGAACATGAAGTTAAGAAAAAGTTTTTGTAAAATGAACCTATTGTGCTGCCTTCCCACAGGCTTTCTTTTGCTGAAACACATAATGACTATAGCCCCACCTGGCCAGAGGGGACTGTATATGTCACATTCCTCAACAAACTGAGGCAGGGGATGAAGGTCTGTTAATGTAGATATTGAGTGACGGGAGTTGAGACAGGTTGATGACTGGTTATCACTAATTATCAAACAGAAAAGACAATGGGTTGCTTACAGCTTACCTCTGGGAACACACTTCCAAGCTCAATGGGTTGCTAACAATTACCCCCTGTGCTCTTGTCCTTTCCTGACCTTAGGCAGAAACATGAACAGAAAGAGAAGGTGAGGACTTCTGGGGTCTATAAAAGACAAAGACGAACCCAGAATCATGAACAACCAGTTCTGGGTCTCCTTCTCTTTGGAGAAGCCTATTGGTATCTTTTTCTTAAAAAAAAAAATTCTTTCTGTGCTTGCCATAGCATTTCTCGGGTGTTTAATCTTCAACACCTGTGGAACAAGTACCTGTTTCTGATCTCCAAGACTGGTGTCACTATTGTTATTTCCCACATAGAAATAATCTCATCACACTTTATGTGCCTTCCTACCCCTTAGTATAGTGCTATATACTTTGTAAGAATTAGAGGTTATTTTTTGTATATTCCAATGAGTTAAAATTGTTTATTTTAGATAACAATTTAGAAAATTCTTGCCAATAGACTAACATAAAATATTGATAATATCAAAGAGCAATAATGATATGTATTTATTTCCAAAAAAACTCATGTTTCTAACACATAAAATATGAACAATATTTTATATTTGGAGGAATTTGAAGAACATTTTCAAATATCTGGAGGTGGTAGAGGTTATTCATAGTAGATGGACTCTGGGGTTTCCCAGTGGGGTGCTGTCCTCAATGTGTCTGATCCCGTGAATCCAGTCCTGATCTTTCTTCCAAATAATGAAGTGCTAGCAATAATCTCATGCCTTGTGAAAAGCCCATCAGTGTTTCAGAATTGCTTCCTTACTAAATCTGTACAAATCATAAATTTTTGCTAAAGAATAATACACTTTCACAAACTTCTATTTCCAAGAAGTTTACTTATGGCCATTTTGACATCTTTATTCCTTAGGCTGTAGATCAGAGGATTCAGCATAGGCACAATAATAGTGTAAAACACAGAGGACACTTTCCCTTGGTCCATGGAGCCGACTGATGATGGTTTCAGATACATGAATGCTAGAGAACCAAAGAAGAGAAGAACAGCTGAGACGTGGGAGCTACATGTACTGAAGGCTTTGTCTCTGCCCTCAGTGGAGCAAATGTGCAGGATGCTGGCTATGATGAAGATGTAGAAGCTTAGGATGGACAGGGTTGGAACAAAGATATTAAATGCACTTAAGCACAGAACAACTACTTCATTTATAAAAGCACTGGAACAAGAGAGCTCCAATAGGTAATGGTGTATTGTATCATCCTTACAGAAAAGCACTCTTAGCATGCAGGCTGTGTGAGCTGTGGCACCCATCATACCTATGCTATACACACCAACTACTAACCAAGAACAGACTTGATTAGACATGGTAACATTGTAAAGCAAGGGCTTACAGATGGCAACATAGCAGTCATATGCCATTGCAGCCAACATATAACACTCTGCAATTGCAAACAAACAAACAAAAAAATTAAAAAGTAGAGTTGAGTCATGAAATCAGTGTAGGAGATGGTATTTTTCTCCATCATGAAGTTCACCAGCATTTTGGGAGTGATCACAGTGGATTGACAGAGGTCAATGAAGGACTGACTGCTGAGCAGGTAGTACATTGGTGTGTACAGGTGAGAGCTGAGCCCAATCAGTGTGATCATGACTAGGTTCCCCACCACTGTGAGCACATAGATTCCTAGGAAGAAGAGGAGGAGGGGCAGCTGGAGCTCTAGTTTGTCTGTTAATCCAGCCAGTATAAACTCAGTCACTGTAAAATGATTTTCTTCTGCCATTGTCTTCTGAGAATCCTAAATAGGAAGAGAAGAAAATTTTTGAAATATTTATTGTCCAATTACACAGTGATGTGTACAAGGGACAATTCAAGTCTTTTTAGCAAGGTATTTCCGTTTTTTCCCAGCCCCTCAACTATATCAGCTGTTAATGATATTGGAATCACAAGAATATGTGACACGTCAATAAATGTTATACAGAACTATCCCTATTTGTTAAGTGCTTTAAAATGTGTTATTAGTAGGACCCAGTCTGAATACATAGGGAACTGTTTTGGTAACTGAGTTTTCTGGGTATTTTCCATGCCTTATGTATAATATTCTCAAGTCCTCTGCAGAGCATATTCTTACAATCTTTTTTATGTTAAAACAACAACAGCATTAAAAAACACACACATGCTGAGATCACACATAATGATGGAAAACAGAAAGATTTTCCTTCTAAAATAATGAACTAGGCAAGATGTCTACTCCCTGCACTTTTATTCAACACATATATAGGTCTGGCTAGGGCAATCAGGAAAGAAAATAAAAATATAATAAATGAATATTGGAAAACAAGGAGTAACACTATCTTACTTGTAAATGACATAATCTTACATATAGAAAATCCTATAAGTAATCTATAAGAATCTATAAAAATAACTACTGGGACTAAATCAAAGTGAAGCAAGGTGGTAGAATTTCAGACAAACCAAATAACTCAATTATATTTCTAAACCTTTGCAATGAGCAATCAAACATTTTTAAATAACATGAACAATAAAATAAATAAGAATAAACTAAAAATTGAAATGTAATATATTTCACTTAAAATTAAAAGATAATTTAAATACAAAAAAAAATCTCCATAAATGAAAAGACATCCAATTTCATTAATCAAGTGACTCAATCAGTAAAAACATCAGTACTACCCAGATGGATCTACAAATTTAGTGTCGTCCTTCTCCATTTCCCAGCTCTGTCTTTTACAGGCCTGGACAGGCTGCTTTATTCAGCTTGTTCACTGTTATGACTAAAATACCTGACAAGAACAATTTCAGAGGAGGAAATGTTTATGTGGGGGCTCAAAGTGTTAGAGCTCTCAGTCCATAGGTAGCCAGCTCCATTCCTCAGGGCTTGAGGTGAGGCTGAGCATCAGGTGGAAGTATGTCGTGGAGGGAAGCAGCTCAAGTCATGAAGATCCAAAAGAAGAGAAAGTGCACTCAAAAAATTCAACATGTATACCCCAAAGGCACACCTCCAATGCCCACCTCCTCCAGCCAAACCCTACCTGCCTTCAGTCATCACTCAGGGGATTAACGCTCTAAAGGATTAAGGATCTCATGACCAACCATTTTACTTCCAAATGTTCTTGCATTGTGTTACAGATGATCTTTGAGGGGACATCTAAGATCAAAACCATAACTCAGGCCAATGATAAAATTTTTATGAAAATAAAAGGAATTCACAGTATTAAAATTTTTTTTTGAAAGAGAAGAACATATTTGGAGGGCTCACATTTTGCTCTTTGAAACATCTTTACAAAGTTAGATGTTGTGATTTTGTCATAAGTATAAACACAAAGATCAATGGAATAGAATTGATAATCCAGAAATAAAACACATCTGTGATCAATTGAGTTGTTACAAGGATTTCATGGAAATTTAAAGGGGAAAATATTCTTTTGATGGTGGTGCTGGAACAATAAACTCTAGAAGATGTAATTTGGGGCTGGGAATGTAGATTCTTGGTAAAACACATTCCTAGCAGCACAGAGCCCTGGGTTTAATCATCAGTATTGCAAAATAAATAAATAAATACATACATAAATACATACATAAATAAATAATTGGAACTCTTTCTCACACTATCCCTAAGAAATGAAATACAAAATGCACTAGAACTGAAAGGAAGAACCAACTTTATAATAATAATTTTAAAAATAAATGCCAAATCCTTCTGACCTAAGATTTAATGATGGTTTCTCAGAGAAGATACCAAAACCAGAGACCACCATAGAAAAAATAATAGTAAGCTGGACACCATAAAAAAAGAAAGAAAAAAAAATATTTTGAAGAACAATATCCACCTAAGTTATACTCTAGGTATATATAATATGGCAAAATACACTTAACTATTATGTATATGTAAAAAGAACAAATAAAAAAGAAATCAGAGAGACTTGAAATGAAAAAGAGAATTTTCAGTTATATCCTCAATAAAAATCACACTGTTGCTCTTCCTGAAAGAAATATCAATGCTCATAGTAATTCTGTAATACCACACATTATTGGAAAGTATTTTCAGTTAATATTAGTTTTTCTAGATACTAGTAATAGCAGGGAAATATTCATGGTCAGTATTCAAAAAGAACTCTAACAATTTAACAGTAAAAAGGACAAGCAGCACAGTGGGAAATAGGTCAGAGGATTCCAATAAGCATTCTTCTATTTGAGACACAAAAATGAAAAAGCCCTGAAAATATGTTATTCATCATTTGTTAAGGATATTCAAATCATAATCATAGTGAGGAAACATTTCACATCCATCAGAAAGACAATAACTAACAGGACCCATTAATACAAAGGTTGATATGATTGTGACAACATTGGAACCCTCATCCATCGCTAAAGGAACTATACAATATACAAACTGTTATGCAAATAGTGTGTCAGTTCTTCAAATTATGAAGCATAGGCTTACTCATGACCTGTTCAGAGAATGAGCTTATCAAAACAGATGTAGGTTTCTAATATAATTATTAGTTTGTCCCTTTTCTCTGTCTCGAGTGGGTATTTTCATCCTTGATCATTTACCATGGATTCAGCAAGAAGGCCTTCAGTAGAAGTGACCCTTTCACCTTGAACTTCGAAGTCTCTAGTATATTAAGCCAGATAAATTACTGTTCATCATACATTACCTAGTTGGTGGTATTCTGCTACAGAAACACACAAAATGGACAACAACATATATCCTTCCATATGTCGTACTCTTTATGATTTTCAAGCTGACAACTTTTTCAGTGTTCTTGGCCTCCCACAAGACTGTCCCACTGAATGTTAACCCCCATCACAGAAGCTCCATTATATCTTGCTCAGTCATTGCAATTCTGACAGCAGGTATGGTACACTGACCCAATCCATGGGACCAGTCCCCGCTAAAGTCTGACTCTGATATATGCTCCTCATTTTGACTGCTTCCTATTTTGCTTTGCTAACAGAACCTGGGTGCTTCAATGTCTTTATGCAGAATTTCCACTATCCTTCCCTGCAATAGTGTTAGTCTGCACTTATTTGATTCATCTTTGAGATCAATGAATCATAATCAAAAATACAGAAACAATTTAAGAGAAAAAAGGTATATTTTTTCTTAACAGTTTTATTGAGGCAGAATTGATATTCAAAACTTGTATATATTTATTGTATACAATTTATTTAGTTTAGATCTAGGCAAACACTAGTGATATTACCACCATACTCAAGATAATTGACATATATCTACCACCTCCCATTTTTTGTCTCCCTTTGTTTTTTGTTTTTATTTCTGTTGCTGTGGTAAGAATACTTAATATGAGATCTCCTCTCAACTTGGAAGTAAAACACCATATTGTTAACCTTAGGAATCATACTGTATTTAACATTTTCAGGACTTCTTCATCTAACATAACTGATGATTTTTTCTATATTTTTAGAGTAAAAGAATAGGATACTCCTTGGTTATCCTGATTTTAGTAAAATATTAGATAAACTCTAGTAGGGGGTCTGATGGACATTAGTCAATTATGTGGTAAAGTAAATATAGAGAACTATACCTCATAGTAATGTGAACTCAGCTGATATTGTTGGGGTTTTCTCCCCATAGGGCTTTATATTCAGTCTTGTTTTGAAAAAAGCATCCTATCATAATCTTGGATTTACAACATCAAAAATTATTTTGAAAATCATAGTTAATAATAATGAGGAATTATATTGGTGATAATTCATCAAGAAAATACTACCAGGCTGTAAGTGTGGATTCATATTAAAAGGAGTTTAGTAGTGATGAAATAAAAGTTTGCTGTCCTAGTTAAGGTAAAGACATGAATAAAGAATACTTGCTTTTTTGAATGTTAGAACCTAGAAGGGGACAAGGAGGCTGAATAAACACTGGTAAATACCATGATTGGGCAGTTCTACAGAATACTGTTATTATGGTTCTAGAACAGAGTGGAAGTCTGAAGATTTTTGTAGACTAAATTTTTCTATTACCAACAGGTATGTGGATAACACATGAAAAGATTTTGGCAGGCTCACAGTTTTAATTCATAATGTTCCTTTTGTTTCTCTTCTCTTCTATCACTTTATCCTGTGTAATCTTATTTAATAGTTAAGACTCTTTATTTAAGATCTTTATTAGTTCCCAATGACTCTGGAGGCTGAAGCAAGAGGATTGTGAGGTCAAAGCCAGCCTCAGCAACTTAGCAAAGCCATAAGCAACTCAGAGAGACCCTGTCTCCAAACTAAATATGAAAAAAGGGCTGGGAATGTGGTTGACTGTCCCTGGGTTCAATCTCCACTAATAACTGCCGCAGTATGGCTGGGCACGATTCAGGAGCCACTTTTCAAAAGTAACGAACTTTATTTTTAGAACCACACAGCCAAACAAAACAGCTCCTCAGGAAAAACCCTCAGAGCCCAACTGCCACCACCGGCTTCCCACAAGCCTCTCTCACAAGCACAAGTCTCTCCACCTCCCACAATCCTTCTGCTCTTGAGGCCGATTGGCTGGGTCGTGTGGGCGGAGCCAAAAAGTCCCCCAATGATCAGCTCCGTGGTCTGAAAGGGCAGGGAAACAGCCCAATGAGCATCACCGCAGAGGAGCCAATCAGCTAGATGTTGCTGGGGCCGCTGTGAGCCAATCATCAGCTGGCAGTCTGAAAGGGCGGGGAAACAGCTCAATGAGCATCTCCAATGAGCATCACCACAGAGGAGCCAATCAGCTAGATGTTGCTGGGGCTGCTGTGAGCCAATCATCAGCCAGCA